ACCTGAAATTCATCTCATTTACCCAAGGTTTGATAGGTTTTTAAAGCCTTGTTGTGAAGCAGTCTGCAGAATTCTGTGCAGAATTGCCTGGAATCAGGTTTCAATTGTAATCACCCACTTCTCCTTGAGAAAATGAGCTGATTTTTATAGGGGACTCTCACCACACATATTCAAGACCCCCATCTGAAATTCACCTCATTTACCCAAGGTTTGATAGGTTTTTTAAGCCTTCTTGTGCAGCAGTCTGCAGAATTCTGTGCAGAATTGCCTGGAATCAGGTTTCAATTGAAATCACCCACTTCTCCTTGAGAAAATGAGCTGATTGTTATAAAGGGCCTCTTAACACACATATTCCAGACCTCCACTTGAAATTCACCTCATTTACCCAAGGTTTGATATGTTTTTAAAGCCTTGTTGTGCAGCAGTCTGCAGAATTCTGTGCAGAATTGCCTAGAATCAGGTTTCAATTGAGAACACTCTATTCTCCTTGAGCAAATGAGCTGATTTTTATAGGGGACTCTAAAAACACATATTCCAGACCCCCACATGAAATTCACCTCATTTGCCCAAGGTTTGATATGTGTTTTAAGCCTTGCTGTGCAGCAGTCTGCAGAATTCTGTGCAGAATTGCCTGGAATCAGGTTTCATTTGAAATCACCCACTTCTCCTTGAGAAAAGGAGCTGATTTTCATAGGGGACTCTCAACACAGATATTTCAGACCCCCACCTGAAATTCACCTCATTTACCCAAGGTTTGATATGTTTTTAAAGCCTTGTTGTGCAGCAGTCTGCAGAATTCTGTGCAGAATTGCCTAGAATCAGGTTTCAATTGAGAACACTCTATTCGCCTTGAGCAAATGAGCTGATTTTTATAGGGGACTCTAAAAACACATATTCCAGACCCCCACATGAAATTCACTTCATTTGCCCAAGGTTTGATATGTGTTTTAAGCCTTGCTGTGCAGCAGTCTGCAGAATTCTGTGCAGAATTGCCTGGAATCAGGTTTCATTTGAAATCACCCACTTCTCCTTGAGAAAAGGAGCTGATTTTCATAGGGGACTCTCAACACAGATATTTCAGACCCCCACCTGAAATTCACCTCATTTACCCAAGGTTTGATATGTTTTTTAAGCCTTGTTGTGCAGCAGTCTGCAGAATTCTGTGCAGAATTGCCTGGAATCAGGTTTCAATAGAAATCACCCACTTCGCCTTGAGCAAATGAGCTGATTTTTATAGGGGATTCTCACCACACATATTCAAGACCCCCACCTGAAATGCATCTCATTTACCCAAGGTTTGATATGTTTTGTAAGCCTTGTTGTGCACCAGTCTGCAGAATTCTGTGCGGAATTGCCTGGAATCAGGTTTCATTTGAAATCACCCACTTCGCCTTGAGCAAATGAGCTGATGTTTATAGGGGACTCTCACCACACATATTCAAGACCCCCACCGGAAATTCATCTCATTTACCCAAGGTTTGATATGTTTTTTAAGCCTTGTTGTGCAGCAGTCTGCAGAATTCTATGCAGAATTGCCTGGAATCAGGTTTCATTTGAAATGACCCACTTCTCCTTGAGAAAATGAGCTGATTTTTATAGGGGACTCTCACCACACATATTCCAGACCCCCACCTAAAATTCACCTCATTTCGTAGACGTGTAGTATGTTTTTCACTCTCTCCTCTGCAGGCGGGAGCAGATCACTTTGGTGAAATGTACAACATTTGTTTTGTATTCAAATGCCACTGTTATACGGGTGCTAATGATAGGGCACTCATCTCACACTTATAGGATTACCCGTTATAGAATTGGGTGTGCTAATCATGCAAAGTTCATGCTTGTGTTTGTTTTATGGGTTACAAAAACTAGTACTATACGTGCTACACGAGTACCCCTATAGCGGTAATCTCGGATATAGGGTGTCATTCGGTTTCTGACACGTGTGACAGGTCGCAGAGACAGCTCTATTTCCAGGTTGCGGAGGGAGCCATGCGGATGGGATAGCTATACGTGGCAGCCTGTCATTAACCTGTCACAGGACACCATTCTTTTTTTTTAGGGGCTGCCCGTCACCATTTCGTACTAGGTCGAGGCAAAGCTGAGACCATGCAATGCACCGCCGAACATGCAATATGCTAACATGGCATATAAGGTTGGCAATCAACCAACCAGCAACTGAAGTAAAACATTTAGGAGAACAATCTGGCGACAAATAGGTAAATCATTGCAGAAGTATGCAAAGAATAGTTCGCAGATGTTCGAAGGGAAATGGTGAGAAGCCTAATATTTTGAGCCAGGGGGCAGAAAATTCTTACTACGCCTGGCGTTTGTAGCAAAGCCTTTCCCACCTTCTTTGAGGACAGAGCACAACCAATTCTACCAGCGAAGCAGAAGTTGGGATCAGGGTGGGTGCACCAAAGCTCAACGTCATTCTCGCCATTCCAATCTGAGTCGAGGTTCCACAACTAGCCTCACAAGCTTCCCTCTCATTCTAGTGTCGGCCTCTAATCCTGCAGGCGGACAGTGTATGGTAGTAACCGTTTAGTTACCTGCCATCTTCTGGCATACTTACGCGATGTCGTCCCAGCTAATCACAGACGGCTGCGGATTGTCGGTACGACTAGGGCGGGAGTCTTATGAAAGGTTAATCGCTCGTCAGGAAGAGTGGAACGAGGCGTTGTTACTTTTCGGCCTTGTGTATGTATCCAATCGCGGTTTGTAACGCACGCTGACTTCATCGTCACGTTGAACCCTTGTTTTTTTAGACAGGCACCTGCTATCTTCTTACCTCTGCGACATGTCGGCTTGGATGCAGGGAGGTTGCCAAGGACAAGATTGGGGATCCTCGCGTTCGCAAGGACATAAAGATTCTGGCTCCTACCGAGCATCGGCGTTTGAGGTCTGCCGTCCCGCGTGTCCCCAGTTGTGGCAGCGAACATTGGTCGCTGTTGGACTACCAGATGGTTTTAATACCCATGATATCAGAGTGAGTTTCCTGACATGGATCCGCAACGTTTGTCGATGACACCAGCTATCTTGCTAATCCAAACTTCCATGTACCGCAGAGTCCCTGTTGTTCACTCGACGGCGATCAGTCTCATGGTGCTGATGAACCCGCAAGATTTGTTAGCACATCCCCGCGGAGAGTACCGTACGCGTCTGCTACACTTCGACCCTAAATCTGCAATCCCAACCCATCGCCACAGCGAGCATGCCAAGGAGGTGTTCGAGTAAGTATCACTCCTTAATCAGATGTGCGGTTTGTATGGACGCATGTTATTGATTATTTGCGACCCCCTTGCCCTGCAGCTGGCTTATCCGACAACTAGATGTGGAATACAGCCGAGGTCGCAGGGTCTCTGGCAGCCACGCCGAAGCGGTGCAGAAAGATTTGAGGGCTCGCCTAGATGGAGGAAGGCAGGGTAAGGAAGGAGGCTCTATTTTTATGATTTAAGCGTTGTATGATATTAAGCTTGTAAAAAGTAACGGGAGTGTCTGACAACCACCTTTTCACGCACATGTTGCAGATCAACAAGGTTCAGGGACAGAGGCAAGTGGGTTCCGGGCTGCACGTTACCCATGTGTTCAGCAAGTTGCTGGACAAATGGGGGGATGTCATGGCGATTCAGTCTGTAGAGCCGATGATGGTCTTAGGGAAGGGGAAAAACAGCGCGAAAGAAATTCGGAGTATGCTGGAGTCGACCTGCAGGGCCTTCTTCGACCTGCAAGGAGTCCAGCTCCGTCCCGCCCCGGATGCAGTCATGACGACCCACTGTGCTCGAGTGGTAGAGAGCGCACCCGCACAGAACATATCCGAAGCGGTAGAGGGACAGATAGACGTACCTGCCGCAAACCGGGACGCAAATCCAAGAGTTGGGTTTATTTCATATTCCCGCCGACCTGCATCGGGGGATGCACTACTGAGTGGCCCGACATCAAGGTCAGCCACTGCGGACGAGCGTGATAGGTCTGGAGTTAGGCAGCTCAGGTTTGCTGATCGGGTTAGGAGGCCGCGGGAACGCGAAGCACGGACGGAGACCGACTTGGCAAGTGTAGCAGATGAAGGCGAGGAGGGTGTAGAAGATCCACAGCTGCCAAGTCAGGTCGAACAGGCAGAGGAGCAGTGGAGGAAGGTGGCTGATGAAAAGCGGATGGGCGAAGCAGAAGCCAAGAGTAGACGGGCTGAAGAGATGCAACGGCGCAGTGATGGCGACACCGATCCTACCGTCTCTTTCCCGGGAACTGGAGACATACGTGAAGCATGGGAGCGTGGGGCACGAGCCGCTGCAAGGGCACACGTGGGAGAGGCAGGAGAGGAGCTCGCCAGCAATGTGCGGCAGCATATCGAGGAGGATAGGGGATACGTGAAAGTTCGCTTGCCCAGCCTAAAGCGGAAGGCGGCTGAAGAGGCCCGGAGAGGGGACGTCGACGTGCCAGAGAATTCGGGAGAGGCGAAAAAGAAGGAGGAGAGCAACGCTCGTGCTAAGGCTCATAAGATGGTGGAGGTAGAGGCGCACCAGAATGCAGAGGATGCGGCCCATCGGTTCGTCGATGCAGAGGCGGCACTTACGGCAGAGGACGGGGCGCCAAAGGAAGCAGAGTCTGCGGCGCAGCAGAAGGTGGGTGCAGAAGCGGTCAAGGGTGCGGAGGCAGTCGCGCGTAAAGAAGCGGGTGCAGCAGCAGAGCTGACGTCGGAGGCAGTCGAGCTGATGGTAGTGGAGGCAGTGGCGCAGAAGGAATCAGAGGCAATGGCGAGCCAGAAGGATGAGGCAGCGGCGCAGCAGAATGATGAGGCAGACGCACATAAGGAATCAGCGGCAGCAGCGCAGCAGAAGGATGAGGGTGCGGCGCCCAGGATGGTTGAGGCAGAGGCGCAGAAGGAATCAGAGGCAGCGGCGCAGCAGAAGGAGGAGGGTGCGGCGCCGAAGATGGTTGAGGCAGAGGCGCAGAAGGAATCAGAGGCAGCGGCGTAGCAGAAGGAGGAGGGTGCGGCGCCGAAGATGGTTGAGGCAGAGGCGCAGAAGGCATCAGAGGCAGCGGCGCTGCAGAAGGAGGAGGGTGCGGCGCCGAACATGGTTGAGGCAGAGGCGCAGAAGGAATCAGAGGCAGCGGCGCTGCAGAAGGAGGAGGGTGCGGCGCCGAACATGGTTGAGGCAGAGGCGCAGAAGGAATCAGAGGCAGCGGCGAGGGAGAAGGATAAGGCAGCGGCGCTGCATATGGAGGAGGCAGACGCACATAAGGAAGGAGAGGCTCGGAATAAGGCAGAAGCAGCGGCGCGGCAGAAGGCGGAGGCAGAGGAGCAGAAACAGGCTGCGGAAGAGGCACTACAACTGGCTCGGGCAGAAGCGCGGAAGAAGGCTATTGTAGAGGCACAGAAGAAGGCGGAGGGTGAGGCGCAGAAGATGGCAGAGGCCGAGGAGCAGAAGCAGGCTGAGGCAGACGCACGTAGGAAGCCAGATGGAGAGGACGGTTCAGATGGGAATAAAATGGTACAGACAGAGGGACGGGAGACGGCGGGTGCTGAGGGGCACATCATCGCAGAGGAAGAGGGGCAGCATAACGAGGAGGCAGCGTCGCAGGTATTTGCATACCGAGAGATGCAGAGCATGGCAGAGACAAGGCGTCAAAATACTATGGAGGAGGTTCGTGTCGTCCCGGAGGCTGGAGTGGGGCACTACGAGGGAGATGCGCTGGAAACAGAAGAGGAGCAGAATGAGGAGGATACGGTACATCCGGCAGTCCGGATATTTTTGGGAGGAAGTCCGACGCGGGGACCAGGAACCGGGGTAGAGGGGCCATGGAGGGTGGCAGACGATGGGGCGCCTAGGGATACACTGGATCTCAACAGGCAGAGGCGGCCCACCCTTCACCAGAGAGCAGTGGAGAGGAATCTCGGCCAAGGCGGGGTGGCAGAAGCGTTTTGGCAGGTAGAGTGGGTCGAGGCAGAGACGGCAATACGGCGGATGCTGCATCGGACGAGTACAGTCCTGGTCGAACAAGGTGACAGGTTCGTCGAGGCCGAAAGCTGGGACATAAGCCCGGCAGAGGTAACGCGTCGTCTGACGCTCTTAGCCCGAATGGTGACGCAGACGTTCTGCAACTTGGCGGCCCGCAACAGCAGCATCAGTCGCGACGTGGCCGATCTGACCGTCCATTACTGTCGCGACGCCCTGGCCAACCTGGAAGAAGTCCGCCATGGAAACGAGGAACGGCGGCGCCAAGCTGAAACGGCGGCCAGGTTTCGCGAGGAGGTGGACACGAGACTCTCCAACTTGCAGGAGAGTATCGTAAGGATGAGTGATCAGGTTCGCCAGTCGGGAGGGGGGATGGCGGAGGGCACGTTAAAGAGGGTGGAAGAGAGGTTGAGAGAGGTTCTGAGAGAAGACTCTGAGCGGCGGAACAGGGATAGACTGCAGGACGAGGAGCGGAGGCAGAAGGCCACGAGGAAGGAAGCAGACGCCGCAGAGAGACGGAAGAAGGAACAACAGCAGGAGGAAGCGCGTCGGCAGAAGGAGATGAGAGAGGGAATGAAGGAGATGAAGGAGGCGATGATGAAGGAGATGAAGGCAGAAATGAAGGAGATGAAGGATGGGATGGTAAACCAGATTGTGGGGAGGTTGAGCGCGGTTTTGCAAGAAGAATCCGAGCGGCAGAAGAAGGAGAGGCAAGTGGACGCGGAGCGGCGACAACAGCAGGACGCGAAGAGGAAACAAGTGGCGGACGACGAGGAGAGACACAAGAGGAAACAACTGGACGAGCAATGGCGGAAGGAGGAGGAGGTGAAGAGGAAGGATGTAGAGGCCACAGAGCGGCGGAGGAAGAACAAACATCAGGAGGAAGAGCGACGGCAGAAGGAGGTGGAGGCGGGAATGAAGGAAGTGATGGAGGCTGTGAAGGAGATGAAGACGGGGATTAAGGGGTGGAAGGAGGGGATGCTAAGTGAGGTGGAAAAGCGGCTGTCAATGGTTCTGAGATTGGACGCAGAGCGGCGGCAAAAGGAGGAGCAGGGTAGGAAGGCAACGGAGGGAGATCGGCGACAGAAGGAGGATGCGCAGAGGAAGGAGGCAGAGGAAGCAAAGCGGGTGGAGAGGGAGAAACAGCAAGAGATGGCGCTCCTGCAGAAGGAAAAGGCGCAGCGGAAAGATGCAGAGGAGGCCGAGAGGCAGGAGAGGGAGAAACAGCAGGAGGAGAGGCAGAGGAAGGAGGCAGAGGAGGTAGAGCGGCGTCAGAGGGCGAAACAGCAGGAATTGGACCGCCTGCAGAAGGAGGAGACGCAGAAGAAGGAGGCAGAGGAGGCCGAGCGGCAGCAGCGGGCGAATCAGCAGGAAATGGAGCGCCTGCAGAAGGAGGAAGCGCATAAGAAGGAGGTAGAGGAGGCCGAGCGGCAGCAGAGAGCGAAACAGCAGGAGATGGAGCGCCTGCAGAAGGAGGAAGCGCAGAAGAAGGAGGCAGAGGAGGCCGAGCGGCAGCAGAGGGCGAAACAGCAGGAGATGGAGCGCCTGCAGAAGGAGGAAGCACAGAAGGAGGCAGAGGAGGCGGAGCGGCAGCAGAGGGCGAAACAGCAGGAGATGGAGCGCCTGCAGAAGGAGGAAGCGCAGAAGAAGGAGGCAGAGGAGGCCGAGCGGCAGCATAGAACGAAACAGCAGGAGATGGAGCGCCTGCAGAAGGAGGAAGCGCAGAAGGAGGCAGAAGAGGCCGAGCGGCAGCAGAGGGCGAAACAGCAGGAGATGGAGCGCCTGCAGAAGGCGGAGCAGTGCCGAGCAGAGAAGAGGGCCAGACTTGCATCCTACGCGGAACAGCAGCGGCAACTGGAGGCAAAGGCAAAGGCGATGGCTGAAGAGACGGAACGATTGGCAAGGGAGATGGAAGAGGAGGATTTGATCATGCAGGGGGAGGGGACCTGGACAGGAGCCGAGGAGGAAATAGCTGAGGGGCTGGGGAGTTTGCTGTTGATTGAGAGCGGGGAGGCGAATGTAGCAGAGGGCGTGGCTAGTGTTCCTGTACGGAATGTAGAGGTGTCCAGGAGGCGGCCTAGACAAGAGGACAGGGAGCCGGAGGGTCATGCGGCTAAGAGACGGCGTGCAGCTGGAATACAGGAGTTGATACCCATAATCCAAGGGGAAAAGAAAGGGATGAAGATCGACAAGTGTGACAACAGGAAAAACGCCGCAGTGGACGACAAGGGTAAGACTTTGGGTGTCTGCCTGCCGTTTAGGGGAAGCGGGTTCTCTCAACGGGGCGAGGGAGCTTTGCAGAAGTGGACGTCTGAGCAGACCGTCGGCAGCCGGAAGCGGAACCTCGGCTCTCACAAAACGGTGTGGGAGAGGGCATACACGGTCGCAGTCTGCTGGAAGCTCTACTTCCCGGATATTGACATGCAGGCATACGGCATGAATCCAAACCGTATTAACAAGTGGCGGGAAGACCTCGACTTCACAACGTGGCTTCCAACAGGGGTGTGGAGTGTCATCAACGAACTCCACCTGGACAAACCGGACGGGTGAGTGTTTATGTGATGGACAGTTGCAACTTCTAAACACCCGCGAAGTTCGATGGTTCTGATCTTGCGACACTGGTGTCTTGTGCAGATTCTCACTCGTTCAAACCAACACGGCTCTTCGGCAGCAGCAGGGGGATGGCTTTCAGGTAGCTGCCTGCGCTGGTGTCGGAATAACTGCGTGGCAGAAGATGGTGGGAGGCGTGGAGGGTGAAAACGGCTATTCGACGGAAGAACACGCAATCGGACTTGCCGCCACGTTGTCTGTAATGTGGGCCGCATCCACGAATGTGGACTAGACCCAGTGGGAGACGGGCGCAACAACAGCTGCACGTGGAACTTCTACGGCCATAGCATCTTCTGCTGCCAGATCGTCCACTGCTGCCACCGCCTCGTCGGCTGCCTCGTCATCTTCTGCGGCCGATGTGCCCTCTGCCGTCCACAATGCCCTTGCGACGCTTGCAGCCTCGGTTGCTTGCGTTGCGGTTGAGGCGATGAGGTCGGTAAAAGATCAGGAGCATGACAAGGAAGCGTGGATTCTGCCCCTGTCGGATGCGCTGCTGAAAGCGCTTCCGGCAGAGTCGCGAGCGGCCGAGGATGCGAAGCGGATGACGAGGGTGGTGGCAAAGGTGGTGACCTCTTGGTTCCTATGCAGCATGGCATCAAGAGGCCTTCGCCAGCACCAGGGCGTCTGGCTCGGAGTCCTGCAGAAGAAGTTGGGCGGCCGGGATACCACAACAGGGGCGGGTAAGGAGAAGAAAACCAAGAAATCGTCCGCGAAGGGGAACGCGACGAAGGATGCGTCGACGGAGGAGAACACCGGCACTGGCGGCCAGGAGTGATAGAGGCAGACGGGTTCTTTGGAGGTCTTGTTAGTACCGCAGTAGAAAAAGATTTTCCTTTTCGTTTTTTATATTTAATCGTGTATAAATATAGGTGTTGTTGTATACAATACAATGAGAGATGTATTTTTGCTCTGCAAACCTTCACTACACTAGCAAAATTTGTAGGGCGCGTATGGAGCTAGCAATGCAGCCGATAGAACTCGCCATCAAAGGGAGGGCCAGGCGAATAAAATAATTGACGACAGGACGGCCTTCTACGACACTTAATCTACGTTTAATACTCGGCTTCTACGAGGAGGTAGAAGTATGGGGCTAAACAATCGCATAACATCTTGTCTTAGGGAGCACCTTGTTAAGAACGTATACGGTATTCCTATGCACAGACCTTTCTGCTATGGAGATTGAATTCCTCGACGCCGAATTCTGGAGGCAAATTGGAAACGCCACTATACCGCAGAAAAACCCACGTATTGATAATATCTACCGTCATGGATAGGATCTTCGTTGCTACTAGTAGAATATGACACTCCTTTGCCCAGAAACATATGCTGAGACTGAATAAATCCACGCAAAAGTCTACCGAGTGACCTAAGAACACACATCTACAATCGTGAGAGTGAATTCATCGACGCCGCTCTATAGAATAACATCGTATACGATACGACATGACTCCGCAGAATTTCGCCCGGTGTATACCATCGATGTGTGCTTCATTGCATACACCAGAAAAACATTCTACGAAAAACAGCGCGTCCAGGGAAGAAGGTGGCATACAAGCCCCAAATCGGGCTTCTACAGAGACAGACAAGTGCCTGTAGTGCATATTCAGTACAACCGGAATAAAGTACCCAAATAACTAAACCGCCCCACCCTTAAGGTACATGCCCCCTCATTTCTGCTCCTTGCGTTTCGACGCTTCGCCCTTCGCCTTTTCCCGTTCCGCCTTCTTCGCCGCAGCGGTTCGTTGTTTCTCCTCTTCCGCCTTCTCCTGCGCCATGTATTCCTTGTGGATCTCCTCCCACTCATCATCACCAAACAGCGAAGTTGCCCACTCCTGGTCGCGAAGGCCCTTCTTGACTAACAGCCAGCCCACTCTGCGTTGCGCCAAGTCGTTGACGGTCCTATTTTCCGTCGACGAACCGGTCTTCTGTTTCTTGATGGTCGGAGTCTCATGCAGCACAGCCAGGCCGTTGGTGAATTCCGTGAAGTTGCACACGAGTAAAACCTCGTCCAGCAGCTTAATGGCCGTTGCGGTCGCCGCCTCGGAGCTGTCTTTTCTTAGCGTCTCCACGGAAACCATGACACGATGCACGCAACGCATCTTTCGCTCGCATGCACCCACAGCCATCCCGGGCGTACCTTTGACAGCGAACCGGGAATATGCGGTGATGAAGCTGGAATTCTTGCCCTTCTTCTTATACCGGTCGAACTCTGCAAAGACTTCGCGCAGTGACCGGCCGCCCATGATGAGGCTTGGCTGCACCCACACTTTCCAGGCAGCAGCAACAGTGGTGGCTTCGCGCCAAGACACAACGACCACGACGAAGAATTCTTCTACGGCAACTGGTGCTTTGGATGCGTCCGTTGCCTGGTTTCCTCCTGTTCCCGCGCTCTTCGACGATCCGTCGATCTCTGCAGAGGTGTTTGCCGCGTCATCCCTGGCCGCAACAGACCTCCTGTATGCTTCGAACTCTGCAATGACCCGAGCCTTGTCCTCTCGCTCAGCGGCGAGTTTCTCCCTCAGTTCAGCGTTCTCCATCGCCAACTGCATTTCACGTCCTCTCAAAATCCCAAGCTCCTCCCTGAGCATATTGGCGGTGAGGTGCATCTTATGCAGCTTCTCTTCTGCGGTCGTGCGAAAAATAGCGTCCTGCAGAAACCAACACGGCAGAACTCAGCATGAACGAATAACTCCTCTCTACCACTAATAGCAGGCACTTACTGCTTTGGCGGTGGTTTGGCCGGTTGCCCGAAGCTTCTCGCCCTGGAAGTGAGAGATAGCGACCAGGTACGCCCACTTTTGGAACAGCGGGTGGTTGCACAAGGGGCTCATCTGCACATATGGATGCCTCTCGCAATTGCACCGCGGGTTTCTCACGCCGTGCTGATGGCAGAACGCCCACATCATGGCCAGATCCTGTGCAACAACGAGGCGTCCGATGCTCGCGAGGGTGTCTAGGAACCTCGCCCCCGCATAGTGCCTCTTCAGCGGATCGGTCTGCGCAGCGTTCCATTCTTCGACCTGACGGGACGAGTATGCAGGAGAAATGGGACGGTTCATAATTGCGTTTCAAAATTAAGCTACGAACGCGAAGACTGTACACTAGCACGTACCTTCTTCCAACCCTCTTCGACCCAGGGGAAAATGTGAAGCCTCAAGAGATCCAAGAGCTGCAACCACTCATCCTTCTCCTTAACCTTATGCCGCGGAAGCTTGGCGCGGGCTCTGCCGATGTAGTAGTCTCCACGATCCCCGCTGAATCCTGCCAGCAGCCAAACCGGCTTGAACGGTATGCCGAACACATAACACCTCCGCAACTCCCCCTGCGCCCATCCGCCGAGAGTGCCGATATCGTTGTCGGAGCAACCGTCGTCATGGAGTTGTTGCGCTCAGGATCTGCGGAATGCATGTGTTACCTTGCTCAGAATCCATCTCGCCTTCGTCATGGCCCACTTAATCCAGGTGTTATGCGTTTTGTAGTGCATCTCGTCTTGCTTCTGCTTTCCCTGGTCGCCCTTCTTCAAAGAAAAGAAGAGGTGCGCTTTCGTCCACAAGATCGGTTCACAAAAGTCGAGAGGCTCGACGATACCGGGGCCGTAGCGCAGAGGAACGAGGTCGTAGATGAAATAAAGCCACAGGAACACATGGCCCATTCCGCAGAGCCGCCAGTCCCTATGCCTTGCAAGAAAATGATGACTCAGCTTGTTGTTGGGGTTGGTCTTCGACTTCCTGGAAACAACGACGAGTATGAAAACGTCTAGATAGTCGTCGAGGTGTGATGTGCTCCGCGTCATGCGGACAAACAGGTTTCCAAGTCGAATCTTTCGAATGCTGCACCCTCTTCCGAGAAATTGGTGTCCGAGGTGCATCATAATCGGGACTTGCAGAGCCTTCCAGAGAGGAAGCGAGATTTGTGACGGAGGCGTCCGCCACCAGATCTCTAGGAGCTCTTTTCGCAGAACAGTAAGATGCAGCGTCCTATACTGGCTTCCCGTATAGCGATCACCAATTGATCCACGGGTTTGATCTCGACCATCCCTGCATAGAATAGCACAGTAATTATGTAAACCATGTACAACAACATTCACACAAACAGAAAGCACACGTATATGTTACTCACGCGACTTGCTCGTCGTTCAGATCCTTCAGCTTGACTTTGAGATAATCCCGAGCATCCTTGATCCAGTCCTTGGTCAGTGTGATGGAGAAGCCGTAGAGCCTCGCCTCGCACCTGGCAAGGCATCCCATTGCGTTCATCTTTGCCTTGATCATTGAAGCCGTGCACCCCTTTGCCTCCTTCCCCACATATTTCTCGATGTCTGGCCGCATTTTTCCACGCAAAAACTTTGCCTGCTCGTCAGTTTCGCAGAAGAGATACTCGATGTATCGGCCGAGCCTCCATTCCGTGATTCGCGGCCCGTGCAGATGAATCTGCCACTCGTCAGAGCTGCACGACCACCCATCGTTTCCCAAGTTATTGCTCATATGCAATCCAACCTCGTCATGCAGAGAGGGAGCAAGGCTATCTGCCACAGGGACATCTACCATAGTTGCCATGAAGATTATCACCCACCACTTGAAGTGTAGAAAGTGGAAACAATAGTGCCTTCTCGTCCCGGCCTCTATCAGTCGAAGCGGGATTGTTGAACGCCGGATCCTGCTCTCCTTTTCCGCAACGTCGGTCTGCCGCTGCGCATTTCCGGGGGCCGCAGCCTGCTCGACATGGCTCGCAGAATCGGGAGGTCGTCGTCGTCCTGGCGATGATTCTCCCCCCTCTTCTGCGTCAGAGTGATCTCCATCCTCGTACCGTTCTTCGGGTGCACCGGGTCGTGGGCGCACTCCATCGCCTCCCGGCCCTTCACTCTCTTCTTCACTCCCCTGGACTTGAATCCGGACGGATGGTTCGTAGAGACCACCCTGAAACAAATCCTCCTCGGTCGCCTCAAACTCGCTATCGTTCTCGCGATCCTGTGCGTAGTCTTGGTCAGTATTTTCAACGTCCTCCAGGTCTTCTTCTCCATCCTCTGCGCCCTGGGCTGCCATGGGGCGAGAGTGGACCGAGCTGTCGGCCATTCACAGATTCCTAATTTATTAGCTAGCAACCGAGACTAGACGAAAGAATCGGATGGTGTCAGCCGCGGTAGGTGGTAACGATTCGCAAGTGTGCAGATAACATAGGCAGAATGCTTAGTGGGCTAAGCGCAGAAGGCGTAAGAGAGTCTGTGCTTCAGACGTCTGCACATTGGTCTTCGAACACCGCCTACAACTTGCGTTTAAATATATCTGCGCCTACAATTTGCGTATACAGGGTCGCTTGACTGTCCCGTACCGTATAGCTCTGTCACACTTTGTTTTACCGCTTTAATTCTCTACAACGAAACAACGAAAATAAGTTCCTACCATTATACGGATATAATCATCTACGGCACCCTTATGCTTGTACATAACTTTCGTGGGTTCGACGATATGATGGATCGGGAGCGAATACTTTTACCGATAAAAGAAGCCTAACGTCGAAGATGTCCGCCTACAAGAGCGGACGACCTACGACAATTGTTCCGGGCAAATACAAACAGTTCTACCGACAAAATATTATACCACACACGTCTGCGCCTACATATGCGACCTAACAAGTACGACTGCAGTTATCCTAACCGGGCTGACCCAAAAAAAAAACCCACTCTATACGACCTACGTCACTATGTCGAGGACGCCAATGTTCTGCCAGTGGGCCAAGCAGGCTTAAAAGATTACGCTGGTGGACTAACAGGTGCTGGATGAAAAGATCTCAAAGAGCTTGCGGAGCATGAAATGCAAATGAAAAGAAGCAAATGAGCACGAAAACATCCATTCATACCCATCCACCACACACAGAAGCCCGTGTCCAGATCTGGTCATCCAACCCTGGGCTGGATGATTCTCCCGCCAAAAAACAACAGTTGGGATATGGTCCTTCTAGACGCTGATTGGCTCTTGCAGCCTTGGGACTCTGACAACAACTGTTGCCATGGCCACGTGTGCAGAACACCTACAGTTGGTAAACAATGACTATAAAACACAATGAGCAAACGTAGGATGCTACACTTGTACTCATGTTATTTATAAAACACATAAGATCAAAGGTATAAAGGAACACGTGTGCTGCAGCTTTAAGGTGGCAGAAAAAAAAAAACCGAGTTAAAGCATATAACGACGCAAGGAAGACCAGTTGGTCGCAACCGGCCATGCGACCGGCGGTCGTCACTTGTCGGCCAAAGAGTTACGATGGCGAAAAATGTCATTCGCGACAAACATCACTGGCACAAAGGGTCAGGGCAGGTTCGTTGGAACACATTTTTCACGGTCAGGTGGGCGCGGAATTGTGAGCGGCTGGCCGTGTCGTATGCGGCGGAGCCTTGCGCCCAAGCCCTTCGGAATCCGGAACACACGGATCCAAGGCCTCGGATCATGGGGCAAACGCACTCGGAACTCCGCCACAACGTGGTAAGAGTCCCGCCAAAACGTTTTTTTCGGCGCACGGCACGCCGTCGCATTTCTACATGCTGCACCCACACGACCGTTGTCCAGCGATGGTTTCCATCGTTGGGCGAACTTCCAGTTCAAGTTGGAACTGGGTTCACAACTAGCTGATTTTCAGTCACGAAGTAGCATAGCATAGCTGAGAACGCCTATTTTTTACTGGCCTAGGCACGTGCCGTAACTAGGGACTTAGCTCACATGCGTAATATATTAGCTTAGTATGAATCTTCACCCCCTACTCGCATGCGAATCAGCCTTCCCCTCCTTTCTCCCACGAGCCACCTCGTTTCCGTCGCGATTTTGGTAAGTCGCCTCGAATCGGCCTTCCGACCGTCCTTCCTCTCTCCCCCTCCACTTCAGCCGTCGCCTCTCCTCGAATCGGCCTCCCGTCGCCCTTCGAGTCTCCCTTTGCATCTCCACTTCGTCGCCCTCTCACTCGCCCTCTCGTTCCCTCGTTTTGCAACTATATCTCCTTTGTCCTCTCGTTGCCGTCTTGTTCTCCCTCTGCTATCGCGTTACCGTGACCCATTTTAGCCTTTTTCTTTTGTTTTTTTCGTGCAGTTAATCCATCCATCGCCCTCTCTCTCTCCCCTCCCTTCCCGTCGCCCTCGCTCCCTCCCCTCGCTTCCCGTCGCCCTCTCTCTCCCCACTCCCTTCCCGTCGCCCTCTCTCTCTCCCCTCCCTTCCCGTCGCCCTCTCTCTCTCCCCTCCCTTCCTGGTGACCTCGCTCTCTCCCCTCCCTTCCCGTCGCCATCGCTCTCCCTCCTCCCTTCCCGTCGCCCTCTCTCTCTCCCCTTCCTTCCCGTCGCCATCGTTCTCTCCTCTCCCTTCCCGTCGCCCTCTCTCTCTCTCTCTCTCTCTCTCTCTCTCTCTCTCTCTCTCTCTCTCTCTCTCTCTCTCTCTCCCCTTCCTTCCCGTTGCCCTCGCTCTCTCCCCTCCCTTCCCGTCACCATCGAGCTCTCCCCTCCCTTCCCGTCGCTATCGCAAGATGCAGTCGTCGTGCTCTTCGCGCCCTTCTTCCCTGCCCTCCCATCACCCTACCTCTTTCCGCGATTTTTGCACACTTATATCTCTCCTCACGCCCCGTTGCGATTTGTGCACACTTATATCTCTCCTCACGCCCCGTTTCCGTCGCCCTGTCGCGTTCTTCTCTGGTCACCCTGCTAACTCTCTGGTTTTTCCGTTCTTTTTGTTCCTCGATGCTGTTTTTGCCGCCATACAGGTTTTTGGCTAAGGGCGTGTTATAGTTTTGTATTTTTTTTTTCGTCCGGATGGCCAATCGTCCGGACGATTGTGTGGTTACAGAGGGCGTCAATTCTCGGCAGTGAGCTCGTTAGGGTCTAAACAACGTCGTATTCTTCGTATTGCCTCATTACGACTTCGCTTTGGTCGCAAAGCGACCGTACGACGTCGCAATCTTCGCACGCGTCCGAATAACCGTCCTGACTATCAGCGACTTGAAAAAATGTAACACGCCCTAAGGCGTTTTGCTGTGAGTGAATTCCACATCTGTGAAATTGGCACTGCATGTGAATGAGACTTGCAGTGCACATGCTTGCGATGCCTTTTGTTGGATAAAATATGCGAAGACTCACACGAGTATCAAACGTGTTTGACAAAAAAAAAGAACATAACACCACCCAAACTTCCTTAAAGAATTCAAGTGGACCCAACTAGAAGGGGGGGGTCACTATTTTAGCCGCTGGCTTTAAATGCAAGCCTTCATTGCCTGCAGCATGCCACCCAAATCCAACTCTTCAAGGGAGGAGGGCAACATCTCCTTCACACCATTTGTTGTTGCTGCAAGAGATGGAGAGCATGGGAGTTGTTCACGGTCAAGGAAGAGAGTGAGGAGGAGAGAATGAGGCGATGGACTGGGTGGGTGAGGAACAGTGTGCATGACCGGCCTTCCCTTGCAGGCACTGTCCCTCGTCTTTCTAGGAAAACTTCGCTCGCTGTCACAACATCACATTGCAGAATACACTACACCTGAACTGAGTCAGACAGTCCTCTCCTCATATAACTATTCCAAGTCGCCTGCGATGCGATGCATGTTTGGGCATGACTACAAGGCACAACTTCACCCCCTTATGTTTCCATTATATATCTATGTGTACAGGTCATATGGATGGAGGCTGCTCTATACGGGTTACATATATTTGTTACGAACAAAGCCTTGCCAGCCTACTCTGCCCTCACCTCATCACCTCAACCCCTCCATACCGCATTCTTCCGGATAAAACACCCTAGGATATTATGAAAACCACTGGAAAAAAATGAAGGGGGGTCTCCTCAAAGGAAAATCCTACATAACACCCGGGTCTTATTGTATGGTATATTTTTTATAAAGCAGAAAAGATGTGAAACAAAATCAGGGGTCTGACTTCACTTCAACATTGTTGATCAATGCCGCAAAACCGAGTACAAGGATATTGTGGGCCACTTGGGCCACTTCACTTCACCTTTTGGACCACTTTCAGTGGAAGATACGCCAGCGTGGCAACAACGAGATTGTGGGAGGGGGGATATCTCGGCTGATTCTAAGTGAAAGTACATGCGAAATTTATTATAGGGAGCGATTCTCACAATATCCTCCCGTAAGGAATCGGACTCGATAACAGCTATAATAGGAATCTATAATAAAAGGGCGGTGTTATAGAGAATCACCTCAAAGGGGGGGGGGGGGGGGGGGTGTAGTACTAACGGGGCCGGATATAACACCCACCCCGTATAAGCTACCCGGGGGTGTACAATTACGGGGGGGTGTTTTATCTGGGAGAATACGGTATCACACCCTGCCAGCCTGTCTATACGCCTGCATACATCAGTGTTCCTAAGCTTACCCCCTTCTGGCGGCCAGACATCTATCAGCTTGTTCAGGGCAGTCAGCTGCTGCAGCCCGTCATCTGTGACTTGTGTGTCATACACACTGAGCTCCTCCAGTTTGGTCAGTTTACTCACATGCACCATGCCAGCATTTATCACACCCTTGCAGTTAGTAAGCCATGGGTAGTTTGAGAGAGGAGAGACCTATCAAGTGCGGCAGACCAGCATCAGTTACATGCTTCTCTTGGAGATAGAGGTATCTAAGACCGACCATTGACCCAATGCCTTCCAAGCACCGTCTAAAATGTCTGTGTGACTGATGTATAGCATCTCAAGCCGTGGCAGTGTGTAGAGGTGCTTCATGCCCTCTGCACTGAAATCTGAACCAAGTTGTAGGTCGATGATCTGCAGGCGAGTCATTGTGGACACATGGCCGAAGATGGCATTTGAGGGGCCGAGGGGGAGTCGCCTCATTGTCAGAGTGCTCGCATGAGTGGCTGACTTGATTGCCTGGAAGGAATAGGTTGAGCGGGAATAGAAGACAAGGAAAGGGATGGTCAGAGTGACAAGAACGAAACAGAGAGTAACAACATGCAGCCCTGTGAAACAGTTGAATCAGCACTCACCTGCCATGCAGCCCTGCGATCACCTTTACTTTTCCTGATTTCCACCTCAACATTCAACTTCAGATCTTGTCTTGTCTGCCCTTTCTCTATACCACACAGCCAATTCATCACCTGCACCCCCCCTTTCCACTCCTCTGTCTCCCGTGCTAGCTCCGCTGTCAATACTTGCCTTCTTTTTCTACTCTCCCCCCTCGGCACTCTTACAGCCGATGCCTGAGTCCTCTCAGCCCATTGCTATGCCACAGCGACCTTTTGTTCCACCAACTCCCCATTAACCACTGCCAACTCCCACTTGACTGCTGCCAATTCCTCCATCAGAGAAGCAATTGCTTCATTCCTCTCCTTCACTGCGGTTGACATATACCGCAGCTCATCCACCTCCTCCTTGTGTGCAGCCAGCTCCTCTCTCACTGCTGCCAGCACCGCCTCTTTGACCACATCGATCGGTGTACCCATCACCTTCTCAGCAGCCATATCTTCAATGACTGATCATTGCGTTCAACCACCTCTTTCACTACAGCATAGAGAATGCAGCCAGGTTCTGAGTAGGGTAGAGTCAATTCTCGTGAGGAAAACAGAAGATAGGGGGGAGAAGGGGGGAAGTCAATGGACAGACATCTCATGGGCGTGAGGGACGAGGGGCTAATGTGAGTAAGAGAGGAGACGAGGAGCAGAAGAAGATGGAGAGTAGGTAGAAGACATGTAGAGTAGGTAGAACACAAGTAGAGTAGGTAGAACACAAGTAGAGTAGGTAGAACACAAGTAGAGTAGGTAGAAGACAAGTAGATTAGGTAGAAGACAAGTAGAGTAGGTAGAAGACAAGTAGAGTAGGTAGAAGACAAGTAGAGTAGGTAGAAGACAAGTAGAGTAGGTAGAAGACAAGTAGAGTAGGTAGAAGACAAGTAGAGTAGGTAGAAGACAAGTAGAGTAGGTAGAAGACAAGTAGAGTAGGTAGAAAACAAGTAGAGTAGGTAGAAGACAAGTAGAGTAGGTAGAAGACAAGTAGAGTAGGTAGAAGACAAGTAGAGTAGGTAGAAGACAAGTAGAGTAGGTAGAAGACAAGTAGAGTAGGTAGAAGACAAGTAGAGTAGGTAGAAGACAAGTAGAGTAGGTAGAACACAAGTAGAGTAGGTAGAAGACAAGTAGAGTTGGTAGAAGACAAGTAGAGTAGGTAGAAGACAAGTAGAGTAGGTAGAAGACAAGTAGAGTAGGTAGAAGACAAGTAGAGTAGGCAGAAGACAAGTAGAGTAGGTAGAAGACAAGTAGAGTAGGTAGAAGACAAGTAGAGTAGGTAGAACACAAGTAGAGTAGGTAGAAGACAAGTAGAGTAGGTAGAAGACAAGTTGAGTAGGTAGAAGACAAGTAGAGTAGGTAGAAGACAAGTAGAGTAGGTAGAAGACAAGTAGAGTAGGTAGAACACAACAAGTAGATTAGATAGAACACAAGTAGAATAGGTAGAACACAAGTAGAGTAGGTAGAATACAAGTAGAGTAGGTAGAACACAAGTATGGATCAAGCACACTCACGCATCTGGTATGAAGTCAGACTGCGTTGGAACAAGGGAAGGCCAGGAGGGGCAAGGAGAGTACAAGAGGAGGAGCAAGGAGGGTAGAAGTCAAAAGGGACGGGAAACAAAACGGAATAACTTAAACACATCAGAGTGGCGCAGCGGAAGCGTGGTGGGCCCATAACCCATAGGTCCGAGGATCGAAACCTCGCTCTGATAAGGCCCACTCCGATCTGGGTCTTTCGTTTTTGCTAAACTGGATTTGTGCCTTTGGTTCTCATTACAGAAACGAGATGCGAGGAAGGCTGTAAGGTTGTTATGTACACCTCCACGCATGCACGACCATCATGGATCTCCCACTCACGCAACCTATCCCCGAATTCTGAAATCGGTACTCTCCTAGAAATTCTCCCCAAGAGGGGCTGGTATGAAGGTGATGAAAAATCAGCCAAATGAAGCGAGCTGAATGAGCAGAGCAGCCAGAAGGTCCCAGGAACAGCGATGGTATCAGAAAAAAAGGTTTCTAAGAGGGAATCGTGGTGCAAGAGAAAGGAGGCGAGAGAAAAAGAAAAGTAGCATGCAAAGACAGAGGGGCCTTATCTGTTGAAGTTTCTCCAAACAAAAATGTCTCCATTGTATAAGCAGAATTTGACGCTCCCATCACATCAATGCAAGTAGGTAGGTGAGGGTTGCAAAACGCACCAGTGATGGATAGGCCAGAAGGGATCCCAAGAGTAGGAAGGGAGCAAGATACGAGGCTACATGAGGATGCGGAGCAGGAATGACGACGAGTCAAAGATCTCAGCTCAGCCTGGCATGAAATATGCAACCTCACCCATCAAATACACATCCTCACACTGGATAGAACCTAATCCATTATTGGTTGCTTCCGTGGCTTGTTTCTCCTTACCACAGCCAGGCGGGCGAGGGAAGACAGAGTGAGCACACCACGCGCGATCTGAAATTATAGTGGAAGGGAGAAGAAGAATGGTGGGGAATCCTATACCATGAGAGAGCGAAGGGGCTCGTGGCCTGGCCGTTTGAGGTGCTATTTAAGTTGATGAAGGAGATTCCTAAAGTAGACTCGCACGCAACTCGGGCCAGCTTGAGACCATGGGGCTGATAGAAAACCAGAGCAACTCGGACTGTGCTGGGTTCTATTACACACGTTCCAAGCCCAATCTCATGCATTCAAGACCTCAGTTTCAGAGATTCTCCATTGGTTGAGGTTGGCGAAGAGCGTAAGACATGCTAAATCCATCCCCTGACCTGGAGGACTACCCCCGGGGGAGTTTGGAACGAGGTGGCTCATGAGTCGCAAGGCTGGGGCGAGCCTGGCAGCTTGCTGAGAGCCTCCTCAGCACGGGCATTATATTTTTAGTTTAAACCACAAGCAAATGCACTCCTCAAATGTGACTGGAACGCATTTGCAGGTCGAGTCAACGTTGATTTGCGAGTTGAATCGACCCAAAAAGCGGAGTTTGGTAGAAGAGATTTGACTCAAATTGGGTCGAGGTTGGTCGACTCGCTTTGGCACATTGGCCCGATATGACATGACAGAAAGTACGAGCACAGCAATTTGTAGGCCGCGAGCCAGGCTTGCAAGGCTTGCAATGCGGAAGGCCGACTGGGACAACTATAGGATGGCTTACCTCTTCTCGACGTGCCCCCATGCCGCCCCGTGCCCCCCTGCCCCATGCCGCCCTGCCCCATGCCCCCCTGCCCCATGCCCCCCTGCCCCATGCCCCCCTGCCCCATGCCCCCCTGCCCCCCTGCCCCAAGCCGCCGTGCCACATGCTACCTTGTCGATTGAGTGCCACGCCGCCCTGTCTCTGCAGCACCACGCCGCTGCCGCTGCTGTCAAGGCTGCGCCGCCCGATCGCCACACTGATGCTGTGACTGCAATCCACGCTGCTGCCCTGCCCACCATGCCACCGCCGCCGCCGTTGTGGGCACTGCGGTGCTGCCATGCTGCGGGCACTGGGGGAAGCCCAGGGAGGAGGAGGTGGGTGTGGGCATGATCGTGCCCATAAGGATGGCATGCATGGCCATCACAAAAATCCTGCGTCCAGAAAACCTTTGAAAAGAGTTGCTTTAAAGCTTTGTTGAATGATTTATAAACGTCTTGTTTGGTACGATATTTTGAGAAAGTATATACCTTCTTCTGGATGCTTTGTCGAACGCTGTTCGCATGCTTCTGCGATGCTTGTGTGTTCAAACCTCTCAGGTGAAAACCTTCGGCAGAAGTTTGGTTGGAGTTTCCGCAGAGCAATTTCGGAGATTGGATCTCATTGCATTGTACTCTTCAAGGACATCCGGTTTAGTTATAATGAAGTTGGATTGGAGACTTGCAATGGTTAACATGTTGTTTAACAAGATGTTTAGTTGCCTCATCCTAGCATCCAAAATGACCATTACTGAAGCGTTGGTAAATGGGTTTTATTCTCAACAAAAAAGGCACATACAAGAGCATCCTACACCCCACCCTCTCTAGTCAAAGACCCCCGCCTCTTAGGGTGATCTGCATCAACCTGCTTCTCATGCTCCCGTACACTATGCCTCCCACTACACCCCATGTCTCGTGCTCTAGGCCGAGCATGCTCGCCCCTACACCTAGCCCCCATGATCCATGCCTTGGCTGCGACCCCACTTCCTGCCTCTCTTCCTGCATCTCCCATCCCTCCTTCACTAATTGTGGTACTATTGCCCTGCCCATGCGTCCACTGCTTCCTCGCATGTCCAGCCCTGTCATGCGTCTGCTGCTCCGCCTTAGACATCCTCCAGTCAAGCCTTTACTGCTGCTTGCTTTGTCCTATCCGGTCATGCCTATACTGCTGCGGCCCTTGCACCACTCCCCTCCGTAATGCTGTCCCCCTTTCTCTATCCACACGTGCCTTCCCTGATGCCCCCCTTGCTGTCTCCACCAATGCCTCTCCTCGCACGTATGTGATGCCTCTCCTGCTGTCCCCTTTTGTAAACTCCACGCATGCCTCATCTGCATCCCCCCTTGTCTCGTCACACCATCATTTGGCCCTCTTGCCTCCCCTTCTTTTGCCATTTTCGTGCCTTTTGCCCTTCCTCCGCTCCTGGCCCCCCTGCTTCTCATCCTCATCCTCATCCTCTTCCTCCTCTTTCTCCTCTTCCTCCTCTTCCTCCTCTTCCACTTCCCTCCAACCTCCCTTGCCTCTGCCTCTCTTGTGCTTTCTACCCTTCCTCCGCGACTGCCCCCCCTGTTTCTCATCCTCCTGCTCCTCCTCTTCCTCATCTTCCTCCACTTCCTCTTCCCTCCTGCTTCCTTGCCCTCTGCCTCTCTTGTGCTTCCTGCCCTTCCTCCGCTCCTGCCCCCCCTGTTTCTTATCCCCCAGCTCCTCTTCCTTCTCCTCTTCCTCGTCCGCTTCCCTCCTGCCTCCCCTGGTTTTCCCTCCCTTGTGCCTTCTGCCCTTCCTAAGCTCTTGCCCCCCCCCGTTTCTCATCCTCTTCCTCATCCCTCCCGCCTGCCCTAGGTCTCTTGTGCCTTTTCCTCTTCCTCTGCTCCTGCCCCCACTGTTCCTCGTCCTCCTCCTCCTCCTCCTCCTCCTCCTCGTCCTCCTCCTCGTCATCCTCCTCCTCCTCATCCTCCTCCTCCTTATCCTCCTCCATGTCCTCCGAGTCGTACACCTCCTTTTCTTCCTCCTTCAGGTCCTTCGTTTCGGCATCAAGCTCAGCCTTCCCCCGGAAGGCCTCAAATCCTGACTCGTGAACATACAGCCCACGGTCGCCCCACTTGAAGCCCTTCACGTCTGTGTTGTACACGGGGGTGTGGCGTGTGAAGTGGTCCTTGATAATCCACCGCACATTACGGTGCAAACCCCCCATCCATTCACTGTTCTTCCGGTGGGAGTTGGAGACGTTCCAGTCAGTCCTCTTAACCTTTGATAGGCCCTGGTCAATCTGAAAAGGCATAGCACAGTATGGGATGGAGGAAAAACACCAACTTCAGTGGACACTCGCGTGCAGAGTTTAGAGGCTGCGCTAAATGCCCCACATACCATGCCGAGGGACTATAAAATAGCATGCCAAGCTAGAGCATACCATGGGTTGAGCAATAATTGCGTACCACCATGATTGACCAGGCAATGTGGTATGCTTTGACGCACACCCGGCGCCCGACACAGAAATTCCGAAATGCTTCCCGGACCGCATCTACAAACCGGCCGTTGGCAAACGGGAGCCCGTCTCTGTTGTTTCCCCACGAGCTGACCCGCTGTTTCCCTCCTGCGCGCATGTATGAGAATGCGGGGAAGCATGAGACATCCGTGATCATGCATGACTCATGGTTTAGGGTTGTCCAAAGGGTATGGATGAACATCGAGGGCGGGGGGGAATGAATGGCGAGAGGGCGGGAGAGTAGGGGTGGGCGGGAGATAGGGGGAGGGCGGGAGAGAAGGGGAGGGCGGGAGAGAAGGGGAGGGCGGTAGAGGAAGGGAGGGCGGGAGAGAAGGGGGTGGCGGGAGAGAAGAGGAGGGCAGGAGTTAAACGGGGGGCGGGAGAAGGGGAGTGTGGGAGAAGAACCAACGGATGGCTGTCATGCGGATGTGTTTGCACATGCGCTACAAGCATGGGCGAGGAGAGCAGGTATGTAGTCGCGTGCCAAAGTGGGGATGCATTGGGGGTACGTGCTTCATCAACGTGGGGCATGCACGAGGGGTGCATGAGCAGACATGTCAATAGGGGATGGAAAACAGTCACGCAAGTACTCACTCGGTTGGTATTTTTTCCACATCTTCCGCTTCTTCTTGGTGCCCATCCACAGTTCGGCTGCACGCAGGCCTTCCACCTTGTTGCCGAAAGTGGCGAGCACTCTGCGCTTGAGGTGGAAGCCACGTTCGTTCTTCCATGACGTCCAGGCGCGTTTAAAAGCGCCTATGATGTTTTTGTCTTCCATAGCCTCTCGCAGTTGCATCATGTTGATGATGTGCGTCTCGCTGATAACCTCATACAACACCTGCACGCGCTGTTCGAGCGTTGGGTAGAAGTCTATGGCATGGTCTGGCGCCTCGAGGCACATCCGGTCCCGCCCCTCTGCGAAATGAACCTACGACAGCCGGATGGATAGGAAAAAAGGATATGTGGGTGACTCCCAAAGAAGGGCGGAAACCAGAGGTCGAGAGAGTGGGATTTGGGTAACACGTGCCGCAGGCCACCCACACCACCACCAGCACCATGAACAGGGGCTCTGGTTGAGGTAGGGGAGAGCAGGGAGATAGAGGGGGGAGAGAGGGGATGAACTAGTCTGAGTGAAATCATATGGGAGAGGGAGCAGAGTGTGAGAGCACCGTACGGACTGCGTAAGGGGTCATGTTCTCCTCGTACTAAGAGTCACAACCCCCGCTGCAGCCCGGCCCACTACACGCTGGCGCCGCATGCCACACACGCGACCAGAAGCACCGTTTAGAGGGGCTCTGGAAGAGGAGGGAGAGGGGTGGGATAGAGGGGGGGGGGGGGGGGGGGTGGGGGAGCAAGCGGAAAGAAGGGATTGGGCACGTGGGGATGACAGAGAGTGCTGCTGCTATCTCTGCGCCGCATGCCACCCACACCAGACCAGCAGCACCGTTTAGAGGGGCTCTGGAAGAGGAGGGAGAGGGGTGGGATAGAGAGGGGGGGGAGGAGCAAGCGGAAAGAAGGGATTGGGCAGGTGGGGATGACAGAGAGTGCTGCTGCTATCTCTGCGCCGCATGCCACCCACACCAGACCAGCAGCACCGTTTAGAGGGGCTCTGGAAGAGGAGGGAGAGGGGTGGGATAGAGAGGGGGGGGGAGGAGCAAGCGGAAAGAAGGGATTGGGCACGTGGGGATGACAGAGAGTGCTGCTGCAATCTCTGCGCCGCATGCCACCCACACCAGACCAGCAGCACCGTTTAGAGGGGCTCTGGAAGAGGAGGGAGAGGGGTGGGATAGAGAGGGGGGGGGAGGAGCAAGCGGAAAGAAGGGATTGGGCACGTGGGGATGACAGAGAGTGCTGCTGCAATCTCTGCGCCGCATGCCACCCACACCAGACCAGCAGCACCGTTTAGAGGGGCTCTGGAAGAGGAGGGAGAGGGGTGGGATAGAGAGGGGGGGGGAGGAGCAAGCGGAAAGAAGGGATTGGGCACGTGGGGATGACAGAGAGTGCTGCTGCAATCTCTGCGCCGCATGCCACCTACACCAGACCAGCAGCACCGTTTAGAGGGGCTCTGGAAGAGGAGGGAGAGGGGTGGGATAGAGAGGGGGGGGGAGGAGCAAGCGGAAAGAAGGGATTGGGCACGTGGGGATGTCAGAGAGTGCTGCTGCTATCTCTGCGCCGCATGCCACCCACACCAGACCAGCAGCACCGTTTAGAGGGGCTCTGGAAGAGGAGGGAGAGGGGTGGGATAGAGAGGGGGGGGGGGGGGGGGGGGAGCAAGCGGAAAGAAGGGATTGGGCACATGGGGATGACAGAGATTGCTGCTGCTATCTCTGCGCCGCATGCCACCCACACCAGACCAGCAGCACCGTTTAGAGGGGCTCTGGAAGAGGAGGGGGAGGGGTGGGATAGAGAGGGGGGGGGGGGGGGGAGCAAGCGGAAAGAAGGGATTGGGCACGTGGGGATGACAGAGAGTGCTGCTGCTATCTCTGCGCCGCATGCCACCCACACCAGACCAGCAGCACCGTTTAGAGGGGCTCTGGAAGAGGAGGGAGAGGGGTGGGATAGAGAGGGGGGGGGGGGGGGGGGGAGCAAGCGGAAAGAAGGGATTGGGCACGTGGGGATGACAGAGAGTGCTGCTGCTATCTCTGCGCCGCATGCCACCCACACCAGACCAGCAGCACCGTTTAGAGGGGCTCTGGAAGAGGAGGGAGAGGGGTGGGATAGAGAGGGGGGGGGAGGAGCAAGCGGAAAGAAGGGATTGGGCACATGGGGATGACAGAGAGTGCTGCTGCTATCTCTGCGCCGCATGCCACCCACACCAGACCAGCAGCACTGTTTAGAGGGGCTCTGGAAGAGGAGGGGGAGGGGTGGGATAGAGAGGGGGGGGGGGGGGGGGGGAGCAAGCGGAAAGAAGGGATTGGGCGCGTAGGGATGACAGAGAGGGCTGCTGCTATCTCTGCGCCGCATGCCACCCATACCAGACAAGCAGCGCCATGAACAGGGGCTCTGGAAGAGGATGTGGAGTGACGGGAGAGAGGGGGGGGGGGGGGGAGGAAATAGAACAGTTATGGTGAGCTCGGAGAGGTGGGGCAGAGTGTGAGAGTATCGTACGCCCAGCGCCAGCGTCCCTGAAGCGGGGCGTACTGGGAGAGCCTATCACACCGCAGCCAGGCCGCTATCACTGCGCATAATGGTACAAACACTCTGACCAGCATAAAGAGGTGGGGGGAACGAGGTGTTGAGAGAGAGAGCTGCAGCTATCACTGAGCCCCATGCCACACCTTGCTTAACACTTAAACATACCCACCTTCAGCAGCTTGGGCTTGGGCATCCCACGCGTTCGACGGACCGGTACGTCTACCGTCGATGGGCTTTCTGGCGCCACGCCTGGATCGAGGCCCACTGCAGATGGGCCGCTCGACAGAGACGCAATACGAGGAGGCCTAGACGGAGGGGTGCAGGGTTTGACAGGTCCTTTGGCTCCTGGCCTTGCCTTGAGTGCCGCAATTTCGCGATCCCGCTGGGCAAGCTCCCAAATGAGCTGCTCCACCGTCTTGCCGCCAGCCACATTGGGCCGACTGGATGCGCCAGGTGTGCCCATGCTCTCGCCCCTCCCCTCCTTAGTCGCCGGATCCATTTTCAAGTCTCGTCCTTCTCCCCTGCTATCCCGTACATCCCACATGGAGCCTTCCACACCGCCGCCACATTCACCCAAGGAATTCGCCCACACACCTCCTCCCACACCGTCATTGGCTGCTGCGGCGGCCGAGGGTTCGTGCCGCTTCGTTGCTCCCTCGATTTTCACCTGAACCGCATGACCCCCCGAAAGCTTTGCATGCGGGTCCGTCGCTTCCCTGCCAAACCGCGCTGACCCCCAAGCGATCGGATCTCCCTTCCCAGACGAATCCATCTGCTCGCGTAACGCAGCATACGTGTCGGTGGCTTTCCGATCATGAGGGCTTGATGGACATCGTTGCCCCATGGACTCGTAAAAATCCAACTCCCGCTTCTCCTTGCTACGCACACCCACAATTTTAGCTTCGAATCGAGGTCTCTGGTGCTTGCCATGTGGTTTGGCACGACCCACACTCTGCTTATAGCTCTTCACCCGTCCTGTCTCCGGTTTTCGCTTTCCATTGCCCTTCTTGGTCTTCCGCACACCCCTCCTCTTCAAAGGCCGAGCCTCCTCCTCATCCTCGCTCTCCGGCTCCAACTCCTCATCCTCCTCTTCCTCTTCCTCCTCCTCCTCGTCCTCGTATACTTCCTCACTCCCGGATGAGCTGCCTGACTCACTGTCACTGGATCCCTCCTCCGAACCCGACGAGCTCGAAACATACTGTTTCGTCCCTTGTCGAGCTTGTCTCGCATTTCGGTCGCGACCGGCCGAATCCACAGCATTGCGTCGTTTGTACGGAATCACAGCTTCACGTCCATGTTCTTTCCCAGCAGTCACTACTGCAGGCTTGTCCTCATCCTGATCGATACCGCCACCACCTCGCTGCTCTGCTAGCCCTGCAGCGAGAGGGATATGAGAGAGACAATCTCGGTGTCACGTCACTCACGACATAGTTGCTGGTGCAACAGGTAACAATATACAAGGAGGGTGGCAGCGAAGGCTATGCAACCTCAAAATCAACGACAGAAGTAGCCAGGAACCGCCAACCTTCTATAACGGGCCTGGGCAGCGCCTGCTCGTCGCCACCAGCCACATCCAGCGAGAGCCTCCCCGAGGGACTGCCCTTGGCCGCCGCCGCTGCCTTCTCGTTGTTGCGCTTTCCACCAGTACGCCCTTCAAGCTCGCCATGTTCCTGCTCGTCGCCACCAGCCACCTCCTGCGAGAGCCTCCCCGAGGGACTGCCCTTTGCCGCCGCCGCCTTCGCGTTGTTTCGCTTTCCACCACTACGCCCTTCAAGCTCGCCATGTTCCTGCTCGTTGCCACCAGCCACGTCCTCTGAGAGCCTCCCCGAGGGACTGCCCTTGGCCGCCGCCGCTGCCTTCTCGTTGTTGCGCTTTCCACCACCACGCCCTTCAAGCTCGCCATGTTCCTGCTCGTCGCCACCAGCCACCTCCTGCGAGAGCCTCCCCGAGGGACTGCCCTTTGCCGCCGCCGCCTTCACGTTGTTGCGCTTTCCACCACCACGCCCTTCAAGCTCACCATGTTCATGCTCGTCGCCACGCGCAGACATTCCTAGGCGGCCAGATGGACTGCCATGATACTCCGCAGCCCTCCCGCTACGGTCATAACATCTACCGCGTTGTCCTGCACGCCTGCCTGCTGACGGAGCTGCGAGGGCGGACATCACAAGAACATTAGCAGTCCAGTGCGCGCTAACCTTAATTGCACGAAGTGGCATCAGTATGATCAGTCGATGCAGGGAGTAACGTGCTACTTAGGAACCGGCGATATTACACAAACACGCACCTTCTTTGACGGGTCCGCCGTCCTCGACCTCCTCGTCGCCTTCAGACGCAGCATGGGAAGTAGTGCCTCTCTTTTGTTGACGGCGCTTACGCCCCTTTCGGTTGTCACGCTTGTCCTCTGACAATGTTACGGGGGAGCACAATCGGAGCTTCAGTAACGGGAACAAGTCAAACACGACGGCAAACCGCACTTACTGGATCGGTCGGAGGTAATTAATCATGCAAGTCTACCTTTCAGCAGATGGTACCAAAGACACGTACCTTTCTGGCCGGCTTTGGGACCGATGTCATCTAAGCGCCTCACGCGCCTCTCCTTTGGTTTTGGAGGGGAGGACACGCCCTTGTTAGCGTATGCCCCAACATCGCCGTCGCTATTTGATTCGTCACCAGATGAAGAGTCCCGTCCTGACTCAACGTCATCACGCGCCGACGACGCATTGTACTTGCGGTACTCGTTAACGATCTCGGCCGTTTTATCTACTGTAACTAACTCCATATAATTTTTTTCCTCCGGCAATTTCGACGAGTCTGCCAAAACGATCGCCCCATCGGGCCCCTTAATCGTCTGACTATCCATTGCAATGTCTAGGTTTCCATTCACGCAGTAGTCTGAGGTGTGTGTTAGTTATGACGTTGCAACCTGACGGCTACGCTTCGCGCACTAAAAAATTGTTGAGCATAGAAGGGACGAGGATCAGACAGGGGCCTGGAGCAGATGACCGTCCCACAAGCAGGCACGCAAGAGGAGCACGGAGGTGACGAGGGTTTGAGTGTTTCCTGCTCTGTTCCACCTTGCGACATCCAGGTCCCTCGTTTCCCCAAACAACCAATCACACGGTGGTTAACGTGCATCCATAAAAAAATTGAGGCTCCAATGGGGCATGATTAAGTGGGAGTGGGCGTTTATCCGTCCAGTAGCGGCAGGGAGCGATACAAAATGTTGCTAGTGCTTAAACGTGCGCTAGTGTATTAGGGCTCACGAAAGATATCTATTCTGCCCGCACAGACTTTATGTGGCTAATTTTCATAGTCTTCCACGCGTGCCTCACGAAGCTTGGCGCAGGCGTCACGTCAATAGTAAAATCGCCACTTCGGAGAAACGGGGACGAACCATTGGCGCAATTCGTACAGCGATGCGACAGTCTGATACGAAGCCGTTATGGAACACCTGCGATAAGAACGCATGCTCGGGAGTTAGTTGTGAGTGGTGGCGATTGGGTCGCAAGTCGGAGAGAACAACGTTCGTGGCAATGAACTGAGGTACGTGGTATGGCGCACGGGGGGCACAAAATGACACATTTATTTGCAAGGCTGCAATACAGTGTTGAAAGAACATATAAATCATTACTACCAAAGGAATGTTGAGCTGTCCAATACCGTACGTTTACTCACAAGTATGAGCACCGACAGTGCATAACCAGACACATCCTTCACGGACCAACTGTCAAATTGTTTAAGGAGAGCAGTGACCCTGTTACCTTGATTGTTGTTTAAATATGGTCTAGGTTAATAATATATTGGTGTCGCAACAAGGTAGCTACTGGTATGTCATTTGTGGTGCAACATTACCAGTGCCATACACAAACAGTTGGGCTGAAAAGCCCTTAGGATCTTTGCAGGGGTGAACTCTGGGTAGACTTGGTGTAGTAGCGGAAGCGTTAATTAAAGTGTTGTGAACCACCTTGCGCTTGTATGTGAGGGCAAAGTAAATTGATTAAAGCAAAGAGATACAAGATTATATAAGAGTACAAGGAATACGAAGAGATACGGTTGCAACTACTTTACTGTTGCTGTTGTGGTTCGATACAGTGACGACTCGGGCAACTGCTCTGCAGCGAGTCAGTTGTGTGTCCTTGATGTCGCGCTGTACTTGTCAGGTCAAAGGTCGCTGACCTTTGACCTGACCGTAACCTCCGACAGTTACTTCATCCTCCGAGGGTTGACTCGCTGGTGCTTCGATACCGTAGTGTTTTGCTTCGTTTGTGTTTTGGTGTTTCGACACGACACAGGCGCTTAGGACCGATTGTTTCCAACACAAACTCCCATCATGGGGCGTCTCTGCACTGTTGTCCTGTAGGGCAGCTATAGTGCATAAATAAATTGCTTGATGTGTTGTATGTTCTTATTTCATGCTTGACAGGAGGTGACAAACACTTGCTGTTTGGTCACGTGAGTGATGGGGACTGTTTCGAAGCCTCACCCACGCGTTCTGTGACTTGCTTGTTGGCTTGTCACGATGGACTGGACGGTGGGACAAAAAGATCCTCCTTATAGGTCTTGTTTGACAACATAGGCCCAATAAGTTCACCCTATGCTGAGACCTGCTACCCGCCTCATCCCCTCCTGCTCCCTGCTACCTGCCTATGCCTCATTCCCCCTTGCTACCAGCCTCATTCCCCCTTGCTACCTGCCTCGTTCCCCCTTGCTACCTGCCTCATTACCCCTTGCTATCCACCTCATGCCCCCTTGCTACCCTGCTCATTCCCCCTTGCTACTTGCCTCGTTCCCCCTTGCTACCTGCCTCATTCCCCCATGCTACCAAACTCATTCCCGATTGCTACCCGCCTCATTCCCCCATGCTACCAAACTCATTCCCGATTGCTACCCGCCTCATTCCCCCATGCTACATGCCTCATTCCCCCATGATACCCGCCTCAATCTCCCTTCCTACCCGCCTCAATCCCCACTTCATACCCGCCCCATTCTCCCTTGCTAACCACCTCATTCTCACATGCTACCCGCCTCATTCCCCCATGCTACCCGCCCCATTCCCCCTTGCTACCCGCCTCATTCCCCCTTGCTACCTGCCTCATTCCCCCATGCTTCCCGCCCCATTCCCCCTTGCTACCCGCCTCAATCTCCCTTGCTACCCGCCTCATTCCCCCTTGCTACCTGCCTCATTCCCCCATGCTTCCCGCCTCATTCCCCCTTGCTACCCGCCCCATTCCCCCTTGCTACCCGCCTCAATCTCCCTTGCTACCCGTCTCAATCCCCACTTCATACCCGCCTCACTCCCCCTTTGCTATCAGCCTCATCCCCCTTCGCTCACCCTGTCATTCTCATTCCAGTCGCGTTCCACCAAGCTCCCCGCCCCATTACCAGCTTAGACCCGCCTCATGCCCCACCTCTAACCTCCACCATCGTCTTTCCCCGAAAAAACACAGACCACTTCCTCAAATCGCGACGGTACTGACGGCGCCATTTGAGTGGCGTACCGACAAGCTCACACGCAGGGAGGTTACGGAAACCATCCTCGACCAATGTGTGCATCACACGCATCGCGAACACACCACAGTCGTTCTCATTGTCCTGCATTGGAATCTGAAGACACACAGGGTCAATTACGGCAGTGTAAGGCCCGTCCAAAATTGGGGGTTGGTGGAGGAAATCGCGTTGCGAGAAAAAGAGATGCATGGGCTCGGAGCTCGTACAAACAAGGCAATTTCGCTCACCTTGACGTGCCGTAGCGGGATGCTCGCAGCCCATGCATCAGCGTCCGAATCAATGATCCACGAACAGCATTTTACGACCTCGTTTCGTAAATACCTGCATATCGGATGATGGTTCTTCAATTATTTAGATACCCCGTTTTGAGTTACGAGACAACAGCATACTGCCATTTGAGAGCGAATACCTGCGCAACGGAGCGTCAACACCGTCATGGGTACCGTTCGAGTCAGCGTGCCATAGCACGCAGTTCATGGGAATCGGGTCGTCGGGTCTCGGGATTCTCTCGATGACGATCAAGCTCCAATGACTCCTAATGCGCAAACGAGGACTAGCATCATTAAAAACGACATTATCATTGCGAATTATTTCTGGTGCAACGGCACGACGCGGCGAGAACTTACTCGGTATTAATCGGAACTAGAACGTGTGTGAATTCGAATATTCCCAATCCGAAAGTGTAGGCGTTTTCAGGCCTCGGTGTGTCCTTCCGAGCGTAGTCCCAGAAATAGGATCCAGCGTAAAGCCACTTTGTGCGGTTGAGACCGTGTTCGTACTGCAGCATCCTGCGAGTGCGCAGATTAACGCCAAAATATAAGCATGAGAGAACCGTGTCGTCACTGTGTAATGAGTCTATATTCGTGATACTCACACACCGAGCCAATCAATCACGATTCCGCTAACCCATTCACCGGGTCGTAGCCTATTGGCGTGGTTGTCAGAATGAGAAACGAGAATGAATGACTAGAATGAGAGTTGGGTACAAATAGGTCAAACCTAACCCTAGAAATGTGTACCCACTATAGGCTAACCCACTGTAGCCTAAACAAGCACAACATACAATGTTTGACACACCCCCGTAGGCAAAGTGGGGGAGAACAAGGGGTCACAAGACCAGTCAAAGCAAAGCAAAGCTCAGGGTGGATCTCAAGGATACCACACAAGTTCCGAGCACAAGCAAGCGGTCACAAGACCAGTTCACATGCAGATTTATAAAAGAACAAGAGATACAGTGATCACAACCTAGCAAGAGTAAGCATGCAGGTATATATATATAGAGATCACTGTACAAGCAAAGTCAAGAAGTGAGCAAATGAGGGACAGTAGGCACGAGGCCTAGAACAGTACAGAAGCGCTGATGGTCACAAGGCTGAAGCGCCTTGGTGAACACGTCAGCAGTGTTGGCCCGAGTGGCCACGTAACGCAGACAAAGCTGACCTCGCTGCTGCAGCTCTCGAGCAAGAAAGTAGCGCAGAGCAATGTGCTTCGTCCTGTGCTCCAGTCTGTGCTCCTGACACAAGGCAATGGTGGCCTTGTTGTCGACGTACAGCACTGGAGGAGAACGAGGCTGCTCTCCAAGGTCAGTCAGCAGGTAGGTGAGCCAGCGAAGCTCCTGGGCAGCCATGGCCGTGGCGTAGATCTCAGCCTCACAACTGGAGCTGAGAACAGAAGAAGAGCGAGTAGAGCGCCAAGAGACAGAGCCAGAGCCAAGGCTGAAGGTGTAACCCTGGGACGACCGCTGAGTAGCCTGGTCGTCTGCCCAAGAAGCGTCTGAGTGCCCAGTGAGAACAGGCCGGTCTCGCCCTCCAAGCACTAGCCCCATGCCCGACGTACTGCACAAGTAGCGCAACACCCTCTTAGCTGCATCCATGTGCTCCTTCCGGTGACGGCCGGGAGCGACATAGCGTGCTAAGATGCTGAGAGGGTATGCAAGGTCAGGTCGAGTGCAGGTCATCAGGTACATGAGGCAGCCCACAAGCTCTGGATACGGACCACTCGGCTCTACGGACTCATCCGAAGGCAGAGCTGAGAGCGAGTGTCCCGTAGGCAGAGTGGACTGAGGCGAGGAGTACGTGAAGCCGAAGCGCTGAAGGACCTGCTGCACCATGTGTGACTGAGTCAAGGTGATGGTGCGCCGTGCTCTGTCCCGGGTGATCCGCAAGCCAAGATAGCTTGTCAGTTCACCCAGGTCTGTGCACGTGTGTCTCTTCTGCAGCTCGGACTTCACGTGAGCGAGACCAACTGTGTCAGAAGTGGCAAAGACCAAGT